GAGACATCTCCATAAAAATGGTGCCATTCTCAGGTTGCACAGATAGGTAATGGGTAGGTGCAGCTGAGACAAAAATGTGATAAAAAAACATGAGCAAAATTCAACAGTGTCTGAACACGATAATGCCTAAACAGGAAGTGAAGGTTAGGCTGAATAGTATATTGGGAGTATCCTGCATCAGAAGAGTGTGTCAAGGTCCAATTTATGGAGGGTTGCCACATGCTTAGTTGCATGCAAAGATGCAACAGAACCACATTGAATGTGGAGTACATGGGATGTTCAAGGCTAGTGCGCATATAGAGAGCAGCACTGAATGAGAGAAGCTATGATGTGAGCAGAAGTAAGATACCACATCGGAAATATGTTGTATTTGCATTAATCACTAGTAATTTTTAAGATACCTTACAGATCTTAAAAATATTGTAAGATTTGGTCTTTTTTTATATCATTTAATTACTCTATTTACCTAAGACACACAGCTGACATTCTACATTGTCTTTACTCGTTATGATATTCTGTTTCATCAGCTGTAATGCATTGTAAAAATAAATTTTGACTTACTGATGATAAGCCACATTCCTAGTAGGTGATAAAGCAACTTACTTGAATGACCTCTGAATCCACTGTGTAAGTTCTTTCTTATCAACAAGCCCATCTTGATCTCTGTCCATCTTATTAACTAGAACACTAAGACGAGTCTGAGACTCTTTAGGACTAAGATGGTCGTATTCTTCAGCATCACGACGGTTTCCTGTTACAGGAATCAGCATGAAGCAAATATTAGCCACACTATCTTTCAGACAGTATATATTACACTTTCTTGTATAACTCCAACAGTAAGAACATTAAAGCAATACATTTTTATAAACATCTACAGCAAAACATAAACAGTTAATTGCTTAAATTGTGTACAATTCACTTAAAAAGAAAAAAAGTATTGCTGTAACATGTTCTGTTGTTAAGTGGGTTCTTCTGGATTATTTGGTTAAAATAATGCCAAGTCTAGTTCACATAATGATAATGGATTAATACAGGCTATGTTTATTTGAAGGCCTAATTTCACAAACAATTTCAAAAGAAATCATAAGACTAATGGTACATACACCTAGCATACTCGTAAACTGGCCTGCAGAAGTTCCTCGCTAAATAATCAATAACAAACTTACTGACCAATCACAAACTAACTGAATCACAGACAAAACAACATGCTGTCTAACTCACTAATGATTCACCGATTCACTGACCCTGGTATTTATGTCATTCTCATTTTCTACTTACTACAAGACATTTACAGATCAATACATCATCATCATTAGCTCTCTCTCTAGCAAACAAACATTTAACATAAAATATTATCACTATATATATAACAGTATTATAAGTATTAAATTATGGATAAAACAAGACCAGCAATATCACTTTTACCTTAGAAATTACATAACAAGTCAGCTTTATACAATCATCAAAACAACCAACCAACTACACATAATGTTTTAAATGAAAGCTATATAATACTTATAAATACAGAAAAAAAATATAGCATTTTCAACAATAATACTTGTAACTTGAATAGGTATCCATCTCTCAAATCACTAGTGGTTTATTCTGTTTGAGTATCTATCCAAAATTGACAGGTATTAAAAGTTTAAATCATTTTTTAACAACTCTTTTGATTTATTCAGTAGGAGATTTGGCCTTTTCCAAAAATGTTCTCCTTTTATCATTGGAGCAACTGTGTAAGTCAATCACTACCTACCACACTATCTATCTATGACAAAAATGGATCATCTTTGCATCAAAACCTTCTAGAATATTAGTTTAACAAAAACCATGATAAATAAGGAAGGGGGGGGAAGAACTAGCTTTAGTCAGTCTCCAGAGGTAGAGGTGTTCTGCTTAGTTAGCCAGACTAAGCAAAATTACTTGTCAGATCTGGGAGCAACCGACAGCATCAACAAGAATTACATCTTATTACCATACACACAAAGAGAATTTCTCATTCACGTCACCCAAACCAATCTACATGGCTAAGGTCTACACAGACCTGTGGTGTTTTCCAGCTCACAGATTGTCTTCATAGTAGTCAGTAAGTACCCATTAGCCAAAGATTCAAAGGATACAGAGTTAAAAGTATGTGTCTGTTTATATCTCAGATCTTTAACTCAGTTCATAAGGAAGAGTCAACTCATGCACAAGAACAATCTTCATTAACAAATACTAAGCACAATCTGCAATAAAACAGGGTGTAGCTCCCTTTCAAGTTAAACTAGAACCATGTAATATTCAAGTTAAGTCATGAAGTTAAAATAAAACAAAATATTGCACTGCTCATTAGAATAAAACAAGCACTTTACTAAAACTCTGAAAAAAAAGTTAAAATTACAATAAAAATGTTAAAAATTTCACAAAAGCACAAAAGAAAAGTTAAAAAAAAACAATTTTACCAGTATCTCATTATATATATACAATGTAAAAGTAAAATTTCTAAAAATACATCAATATATAGGTAGGTTATTGGCCACCTAATGATATAAGGAAAAATTACATTATTGGCTATTGGTCATTTTCACTGTTGTAGCCAATAATGAGCACCAACATTTTTGCCTGTTGTCACATAATATTGTGGTGCATAAACAGTTGAGACAAGAAAGTATTATAATGTAATGTGCAATATACGATCACAATCTGCTATAAATAAGTCTTAAGAGGGTATATGGTTTAGAATTATTTTAAAATGTCTGAAAATAACAGGACAGTTGATTGGAAACTATGTGCTGCAAAAATCTGGAGCAAAGGCAACACTGTAAATATGTTGTGAATGAGAAGAGGAACAGGCTGATGTGCAGTCAAGTAGAAATGTTGCTTTTTGTGAAGAACCTTCCACTCACAGACATGCTACACTAAGTACAGTTAAAAAATCAATGAGTATTATTCTGAAGTGGTTTTTATTACTTGAATAAGTAAGTTACTTAAATATATTGTTATTATTCATTTCTACTACTACTTCTACTAGAAAATATACTGCATCAATTTCTTTTGTATTTTTTTCCACCTTGATCTGTATTCTCGCAAGCATATTCATGTTATGTTTTGAAGCTGAAAGCCATCTTTTGTTCCTTGAAGTAGCAAATTTGTTGGGGTGAGTTTTGTAGAATAAACTAAATAGTTTTAGACTGATATTTTTGTGGTGAATTAATAATTATGTTTACATGAATAAAGTTTCTACTAAATCCTCTGACAATACAGTTCAAAATAACTCTTTAGCAAAGAAAACATACTAATACCCTTCAAAAATAAAACAACATACAAAGAAATCCAAGTTACTTTATACTATCCTTTAACCAAGCCAACCCATTAACACAAAAACAAACCCTTTTCATGGTAATAAGACACAACTTAAACTTAACTAAGTAGACTCAAACAGTTATTACTCACACAAAAGAAAACTTTACATATATACACCATACATATAACTTGAGCACCTACAAATGTACATATTTACAAGGTACCTTAAAGAAACTTTGCATACATAAGGCAAATGGGAGCCCCAATACAACAAAACCTTTAAAAAATGCATGTATGCATTGCATTGTACAACACACACAAAAAAACAACATTAATACTAATTACTCTGCTCTCTGAAAATTCAAAGGATACCGAGTTAAAAGTATGTGTGTGTTTATCTCTCAGATCTTTAACTCAGTTCATAACGATGAAAGAGTCAACTCATGCACAAGAACAATACAATTCAAAATAACCCTTTAACAAAGAAAACATACTAATACCCTTCAAATTTGGTGCACAAACAGTTGAGAAAGTATTATAATGTAATGTGCAACGTACGATCACTATCTGCTGTAAATACGTCTCAAGAAGGTATATGGTTTGGAATCATTCTAACATGTCTGAAAATAACACATGATGAAGGGCCACATTTCTTCAATAAGAGGTCCTTACTAGTGCAATGATTTTCAGTAGTGTTTTCTGACAATGTCTGCCATCTCACCCGCTAGTAATACAGCTATCTGCTGTAAATACGTCTCAAGAAGGTATATGGTTTGGAATCATTCTAACATGTCTGAAAATAACACATGATGAAGGGCCACATTTCTTCAATAAGAGGTCCTTACTAGTGCAATGATTTTCAGTAGTGTTTTCTGACAATGTCTGCCATCTCACCCGTTAGTAATACAGCTCATGTTGGTGAAGCTCATCCACCAATGACACTTGTTGTTTCTCTCCCTTGGGTGGCACCTCCACCATAGGCTTACATGGTACACCTCAAACTGGAAAGTCCAGTTTAACAGGGAAGTCATCATGTAAGTGGGTTCCAGAAGCCCTACATTCTGTGAGCATCAACTCTGACCCCTGGAGCTGCTGAGCAATAAGATGTTGGATGCACCTAATCTACCTGCCCTGCAAACTCTGGATTTGTCCATGGAAATAAAATCTCACAAAACCTCTAAAAAATCTTACCAGTATCTCTGTTCTGTCTCATTATATACATACAATATCAAAGTAAAATTAAAGTTACAGTACAAGTCTAAATTTAAAAGTTTAGAAAAAGCTGTTAAACAAATGAGAACCTCCTTTAAAATAATAAAACATAAAATAACAATTCAACCTAGGGTTTGTACACTAAACATTCTGCATCTGACATCCATCCATTTGTGCTGGGTAAGCAAAAACCAAAGCCATTACCCAATTCACTAAAAGGAAAGACAGCTTTCTAGTCCTGGACATCATGAGATATCTTCCCTGCAAGAAACTGAATTAATTGTCAATTAGCAGATGAATGCATCCTGAACAAAACTAGCAAGAAACAAAGTTAAGAGGTTTTTACTTCAATAACTTTTCATGTCCAAACTGAACTGAAAGAAAATAGAAATACTGAAAACTTACAACTTAACTAAGACAGAAGAAAACACACGGTACTGTCCGATACCATAATTTCACTCTAATGAAGGACTCAGGAAATTGTTAGGAACATATCACCAATAAATAGCTTTGCAATTTGTAGAATATGATAATTGGTTAATCACTGGGCTCATTAATCAATTAAATTCAACTATTATTCTCATGACACTTGGATAGTCATAACAGTAATAATCGGAAACACCAATTTCAATTAGTTGATTATTTTTGTGAATTGTGACACTAATCAATTAAGCTGAACAGCCTTGAATTAAACTAAAATAATAATGAGATGTCCCACTCTTTGTAACAGTTGTTGCTAGTTCAGGATTATAAGCATACACATGGATTTTTTGCATTTTCACCTAGTAACATGTATGGTTTAGCTCTTCCATTTCAACAGGAGCTAAAGGTTGTTTTCATTAACATTTTAAATGCCCATATTTTCTGTGGTTTCCAATACACAATGTGATACATACTTTATGTAAATAAGAATCCCAATTCTGACAAAATTAGAAGGAAAAGCACGGGTTCAGTATAACATCATCCACTGTTCAGCTGGAAATAAAAGGTGGCAAAAATGCAACTAGGGTGAACAAGTGTTATCCTACCATTGTTCCATATTTGTTGGATGTTCCTTAATTAGTAGAAATATGCACAAAATTAACTGGTGTTCACCCCAAGATGTGAAGAAAACAGAGAAGCAAAGCTATAAAAATGAGTATTTATGAACAAGATTTCTGAATAAAATGTATTGACTTTCTTGTAAATGTTTCTGTACCTTTGAAAAAATTTCAATGAGTGTTTTGGATCCCTTTTATAAACTATAATGAATTATGTAAAATGTGCCCCACATAAGAGAAGAAAAGCAAACATAAAATTCTCTTTGTTCTTTTACTCCCATAAAATCCATTCATAGGTAACAATTCAGGCTCGGAAAGAAACTCTTGTTCTTAAATTCAAAAGTCCTACAAGTAGAACTAAGACTATAATGTGAAGAGTTAATCTCTTTTGTACTAAAATATATAGTAAAGAAGAAAAAAGAAGTCTTTGAAATATCACCACCCCAAAATTTCAGGTCTTCTCTATTCTTATCTCTTGACCGATTTGAGATATAATTACAGTTTTAGACTCAGGAGAACAAACCCTTTTGACTTATATATTTGACCATGTCCAAGGTCTCACAGATTAATGTACTCTACTCCTGCCTAAAAGAATTTCAATTTAAGGGTAGGCTGATAGAGATCTTGATAAGTAATAAAAACAAATTGGGTATACATGTGCCCCACACTTAGTATTGCTAGCACACAAAAATATAGATAATAAAAGTAAAAAATGGTCTCAGATTAATTTACTCTAATCCTGCCTAAAAGAATTTCAAGTGCAGTGGCTATTGAAGATTCCCTCTTGTTTAGTATTAAAACGTATATTCAGTTTTCCAGTTTATTCACTAAGACTGTTGAAATTCATTTGGATAACAAGAGCATTCTCAGTAGAATCAGCAGTTTTCAACACTTGATAATAACCATCAAATTTAGAAATATTACTGTTCAAGAAGCTATCTATATCAGTGATCTAAACACAGATCCCCCTCCGAAGGGACCACATTAGTTACATTTTACTCACCTAAAAATTACCATTTATCATCACTTTTTTGCTTTCTACCACTACAGAAACTTTTCTTCACATTTCTTAACTTTTCCTTCAAACCCATAGGCATCCAACATGCTTTTAATGTTATTTTCTTGTGAAGCAATTAATCAATGGCTTTCTGAAAGTCAAGGTAAACAACATCAATAAAGATGTGCTCATCCAAAAAGTACAAATGGTAAGACATGTTGATGTTAAGAATCATTAATCAAATACCAACTTACAAATCTAAATTACTTTTCACAACAGATTCCAATACCTTCCTAGGAAAAACAAAAGTCAAACTAATCCATCTGTATTTTTCCAGTCCTCCCTAAGCCCTTTCTTATTTAAGAGATTCTACTGGTGAATTTCCAATGTGGATCAGCAGTCAGCATTGCTAGAATTAAATGGTCACCAGTTACAAAGGTAAACTAGGCACTGTCCATTAGGTACATTAAGGTATTTAGTATCAAGAAAAAAAAATTTAAATCATCATTTAATATAAAAATCAAAGAGTTTAATCAACCAATATGTTTTAGCATAGCAATCCTAAAGTGTCATTTTACTAAAAGAAAAAACTGTGTTAAGAATCATCGTAAAGCAAATAGAGACTAACTTAAATAAAAGGGGCAATCATCCAACCTATTCATTCCTCAGCTGTATGGTCAAGGATAGTACTGCACATTGAGAAGGTGTCACCCTTCTATTGGTCAAGAGGTATAGTCTAATGCTGATTGCATCAGAGACTGATTCAGTACACATTATTAGGTATAGAGGTAGGAGTTTCATTTAGAGGTTTGGTACATCTGTAAAAACTTTTGGGGAGTCATGCAAAGTGAGAGATATCTGTTCTTGGAGAGGAGAGTGAAGTGTCTGAATCATCTATTCTCTTCTCCAAGATGGCAACTCGTTCCATAAACTGTTCATCTGGTTAGAAAACTAAAACTGTATTCACTAGAATATAGCCTGTCTTTTCTAAACATTGTGTCTTCTAATCTTATTGTCTTTAGAATAGAGCCTTTCTTAACCTTATTGATCATGCTGGATAAACTTCAAAAAGATCAATCTTATCATTTTTTTTGTCAAAAGAAAATAAATTAAAAGATAATCACATAAAATATCCTTTCCACCCACAGAATAATCTTAGTTGCCCTCCTCTGAACTCTTTCCAATAAGTCATTATCCTTTCTCAAATAATGAAAGCAAAACTGTACACAGTATTCCAAGTGAAGCCTAACTAGCGACTCTTATATACAGATTATTACCTCTTGTGATTTGTGAACAGTTTGTCTATAAATTCATCCTACAACTTTATTAGCTTTACCACTAGCTATAGAGCACTGTTTGAATGCCTTGTCTACCACTATGTCAAGGTCACTTTTCTTCAGCTATGCTGTTGAGTGGGTTCTCATACACCATATGATCCACATTATAACCCAAATGCATTACTCTGCACTTACTATAATTACAGGTCATTTGCCAATTATTTGTTTAACTTACCAGTTGATCAAAGTCGTTTTGTAATAGCTAGAGATCCTCAATATTGCTAAAAATGTCTAAGAATTGAATGTTACCAGTACACTTAGTAATTACGTCCATATCAATATCATTAATTTAGATAAGAAAATGCACACCGCTGGTAACAGCAGTCCAGTTTGACTAAACTCTATTACTGAAACTCTTTTGCTTTTTCACACCCAGTCACTCTACAATTCAATTAACTAGTCTTTACTCAAAAGGACTGTCAAAAACTTATTGAAAATTTAAGTACACCAAGTTTACACCCTTTACACCATGTTCTTATATGGTACATAGGCATTTGTTATTTATTACACATTTAATTCCTCAATTCATTTATTACATTTAATGTTTAGACACACACACACACACACACATATACATCATGACACACGTACCAATGATAGCTTCATGATCAAATTCGGATTGGTGTTTTCCTTCTTTGTAATGATGATAATCACTTGGGCTAAATGAACCATCTTCTTCTCGCTCTCTGTGCAGTTTCTGTCCTTTAGATTGAATATGACTATGAGGTGAAGGATCACATTCTATTGTACAGATATGTATAGCAAAGTAAAGGAAGCAGGGTACTGTCTTTGAAATTAACATCCCTGCAGAGTTTCAAGCCTTCTCGGTATATTTCTCCTATGATACACATAAGAGAAAAATTAAAATATTTAATAAGTAGTACTGTTAAGACATACTGTAGTCTATAGCAAGCTTATACATAATTGTGTGTATGTGTAATAAAACTAATATTGAAATATCAGAAAATGTAAAATATGACTAACATTATTAAACAAATTAAGTTACATGTACTTTATGTTTATTTACTGCTGCACTATAAATATAAGTTTTTTTTATGTTCCTATGTGTATGAAGACATATTTCTTGTTAATATGTACCACTACAAACACTACAGAAACCTAATAATACAACTTTTTTATATGAATTTATGATTAAATTTCACAAAACATCTTTTATACCTTTGGCAAATTTAAGACAACCAATATTTTCATATGTATGCTCATTGTAAGCAGGAAAGTTGCAAAAAATTATACTTAGCTATAAATGCTTCATGCTACAATAATCTAAATTAAAACTTGGTTATATTATGAATGTATTCTGACTTTGATTAAGTGGGTAGAGAAATTAGAACAGATAAATTTTTGCCATGTCAGATCTATTCTAAAAATTTTGAATCCAAGAATAAAATGGTAGTTGTTGTTGGCATTTCTAATTTAAAAACGTTTTGCAAATTCAAATAACTATTAAGTTACATTAACCTATTGAACTTCAAAGATGGGTGTAATAAAAGTGATACCAGATGCTGCTTAACTAGAATATCATATAATAGTAGAAAAAAACAACACAAGGTTCAACAACAACTTTTAAAATATGTGAATTGATCAAAGAACTCACAATAATTTAGTCTTTACTAGTTAATAATGATTTACGCTTTAATAAAAAGATTAAGTCTAATAATAATAATATATATATACGTCATAAAAATAAAATTTAAATTATTAATATATAGTTATATATTTTCAATTATAATTCATAGACAAATGAACCTGTCTTTTTAAACTAAATAAGTAGATTTAAGTTGACACGAAATATTGCTAATTTATTTTATTTAGTAATAAATATTTTCAATACTACTATACTAATATTATATAATTGATGATATTAATAGTGCCATTGTAATTTGTATTGTAATTGTATATGTACATAACATTCTAATAATAGTAATGCTCCTAAATATGGAAACGTTAACTTCGAAAAAGCATAGTTCTCTAAATTATTATTAATGCATACTAATAATAGTAATATTAATACAGGTAAAATGAAAAACATGTCAGTAAGATTAGCCTTACCAAATAACAAACCCAATAGTGACAACACTCACTGCTAACGCACGATTATTTTAAGTCTTTAGATTTCTGTGCTACTTACTACCTCTCAGCGATCAAAACGTCAAATCGACAAGTTCGTCGATGGCGTAAATTTACCTATCCATCATCTTTCTATCTATCTGTAATTACAATATGTATTTGAATATGTGAATCATAACACTTATTTATTACATAAAACAGTGTATATTTAGTATTTTTATTATTCACTTTAAACTTTTTGATGCACGAAAAAATAACGCGGGCTATTACTATTAGCAATAAATTATAAAGCATTAAAAGGTCGGATTCTGGATTTCTTAAATGGGAATATTTTTTTTATTTAACGTTTTTATAATTTAGCAAGGAAATACACTTCTTATATGATAAATATAGTATTAGTAGTAGTGTTTCAATTTTATCGTAAATTTTGATAAACTAGCATGGAAATACAATTCGTAGATGAAGTAAAACAATCTAGTGTGATACGAAGTTAGAAGTAAGTAATTCAAAAGCAAATCATTGAAACAAAATTTACGAAAAATCTTAGATCTTGAATGTTTTTGAATATGGAATCTCAAATCATAACAGAATGCAACTGAGTTCAAGTGATTAGAATAAGAATTAATATGCCTAAAAGCACATTCCACAGTCTTCACGTCTAATGAAGAAATACAAACTTCCAGGAGAATGTTTCAGACTGAGGTTTCTCGCTGATGTGATCTAACATAATACAAAAAGAGAGACCGACTGGAGGCGTGGACTTAGCGAAAGTGCACATACAATGTTTTTAGATGTGCTGTAGGTGATTCAGTAAAACTTCGCATTTGGGCACAAAATAAATCAGTCGGTTCTTTATTAATTTAAAATGTAGCGTCACCTTAAGAAAGACAAATATTTTTACCTTATCAAGTTAAGAAAATGGCACACTAAGAAAAAATATCAAAGAGTGTAAAACTTCTGGAATGTTAAGATTGTTTGTTTGTTTGTAATTAAGCACAAATCTACACAATGAGCCATCTGTGCTCTGCCCACCACGGGTATCGAAACCAGGATTCTAGCGTTGTAAGTCCGCAGACATACCGCTGTGCCACTGGGGGGCTGGAATGTTAAGAAGAAAGCCAATAAAATAGATATCTAGTGTCGATCGCTCTTCATGCTCTTAGCTACATCCAATGTGATAATTATATCCACTGATCAAATCATCAAAATACACTGGTTCTATAATTTATACAAAATGCACATCTTGTGCTTTTTATATAGTGTAAGGTAACTAGTGTTACGACAGTGGAAGTCACGTGACTATGGTAACACGTAATAAGTTCTAGAAAGATCGAAGAACATCACGAATAATCCAGTATTTGCTAGGCGCCCTCTATTCTTGTATATAAGTGCGCCAGACAATGAATCGGAGATAGAATTGTAGACAGGCAGAGACAGAGACGGACAATTGAGTCAAGCGGGGTAAAGTGCGTGAATCGTTCGTTGTGAATTATAGCGTGTGTTTAAGTTAAACT